GGCCCTGGGCCGAGGTCTCGGGGCCGGAGGGGCCCGGGCGGGTTTGGCCCCCCCCGCCGTGGGTGACGGGGGCCGCTGGTGGGAGTCCCCACGGCCGCCGGCTCTGCCCCACAGCGGGACCCAAACAGACCCCCGGCCCCCCCGCCCCGTCTGGGGGTGCACAGGATGGTTGGCATCTGCGGGCACCCTACCCACTCAGGGTAGCATTTTACAGTGTTGGTTTCTTTTTTTTAATCCACGTGAGTTTTCTGCCCTGGATGCCCCATTTCCTCAACCACCTCCCTGCAGTTTGGGTTTTCCAAGGTCTCGCCTATGTAAAACCAGCCTTGGGTCCCTCCCAGTGCGACCACTATGGTCCTCACGCCTCTGTCCTGCTTTCATGCCGGTTTGCCCAGCCGTGGCTTTGCCCGTTGATGAGTGAGTGCCCAACCCCGCAGCCCTGTGGCATGCAAGGTCTGAGTGCAGTCACGGTCTCGTGTGTCTCTCCCTGGCTCGCACAAGAAGGAACTGGCAGTTTCTCCCTGTTAAAAGGGATGAGGCTCTTTGGTGGGATGGAAAAGCATCTTGACCTAGGCAGGTGGTGACGGGGACCGATTCGATCACAGCTCTCAGGAAAGCCCGGCGGCAGGAGCAGCTGGTCAGCAAGCGGCTTCTGCGGGAGGACACCGCAGCAGAGGAGGGTGGACAGGATGGAGCAGAGATCGTGCCGGACCCTCTCTCAGAGGATGAGGTGAAGAGCATGACGTTCTCCGTGGTGATGGGGGTCCCTGGGGTCTTCCCCATCCTCTAGGCATGTGGAGGAGCCTGGGCAGAGGTGGGTTTGGGAGTGTTTTCTAAGTCACTGCCAGACATGGTGGGAAACAGTAAGGTTCTTTGTGACCATCTTTGCGCCCTGCGTTTCTCTGCCTCCAGGATTAACGGGATGAAATCTTAACCCTGGCACTGCTTGAAATTCACCCATCTTTTAATTTTCGGATAGGTTCTTGAGCTGCTCAGAGGCGTGCAGAGGGCTTCAGAAGACAGGAAAAGATCACTCACCCGTCTCCGCTGGGCTCTGCAGAACAAGGAGACTCAGCAGAAGTTTGTCAGGTCAGCCCAGGTCTGGCACTGCATGGCTGGTACCAAGGGCATGTCCAGAGTGGCTCTTTGTCCCGGTTGTTGTGTGGGTGAGTTAGTGTGTGGCCAAGGGTAGAAGGCAGGAGGTGACAACACCCTTTGGGTTCCACCAGGCTGGACGGCAGCATCCGGACACTCATCGGGCTCTTCACCAGCAGCCTGGCTGACATGCAGATGGAGGCAGCCCGCTGTCTCCACGAGCTCTCCCACTCCAGTGACCCTGCTGTGGCTGAGGCATGTCTGCCAGTGACCTCCTATCTCCTCACCTACCTCTCAGGACACAGCATTGAGTTCACGGTAAGATCCGTGCTTACGTTTGCTGGGGCTCTGGCACCTGCTAAGCTTTTGGTAGCGGCTGGGTGTTGACCTCTTTTGGCCAGCCTTAGCCTAACATGGCTCACATAGGAGTGCTGGTGGGAAGGGGCCCTCTGGAAGTCTCTAGTCCAGCCTTCCCCTTGGAGCAGGACTGTCCCCGGTGCTAGCCCAGGGCAGCAAGGCTTTGTCTGGCCAAGTCTTGGAAATATGGAGACCCCCTACACTGTGGCCTGTCCCAACACCAAGAGGAGTTTGGATCCATTGTGTTTGCACCTCCTTCCGGGTAGCTGCAGGCTGCTCTTAATGGTCCCAAGCCTTATCTGGGCCAGGCAAATCCTCCTGTCACAGCCCAGGATGCAGTGGTTTGCCCCACTTGCAGTGGGTTCCTCCTCTTGAGCTCCAAGCTCTGTTTAGGGAAGCAGGAACTGCAGGCTGTGGCAGTTGGACTCCATCATCAGACACGTGGTCTGGCCTCTTGATGCAGGCTGGACCTGGACGGGAGGTACCTTGGTGTCTGTGTGGCGGGTAAAGCAGAAATACAAGATGCGGGCCAGTTTAGGTGTTTTAAAAGATCTTGGAAAAGTGAAAGAGATGGGCAGCAGCAGCCTGGG